AGTGATCACGTTGAGCAATGATCACCTTCATCTGTTACAGGCTGGCCTACGAACGCTGCAAGAGATCGGTCCCGAAATCAAGAGGGCTATTTCCGGTAACCTCGACACCGACTGGAGCAAGGACTTCGAAGAGCCTCAACATCGTGTAATTATTTCTTTCGTTAATTTCGTTTTCTCTTAAACGCGTTTCACTTTCCTGAAGTCGGTTCACTTCTGACAGTACGTTTTCGCATTCGATTCTTTTCAGGGATACGAAATTTCTATTTTTTCCTTAGGGATTCTTTGAAACACCAATTGGGTAGATCGTTCCTGAATGAGACGTTTGCGAATTGTACTATGATACTGTTATCTTGCAAATGCGAACATTTCACGAAAATAAATCTCTGATCAGCTAGATTAAAAATGCCCGCGCATTTCCGATTCCTTTCTCAGGTACTTGGTACTTGATCTTCCGCAGGCGATGAAATCTGTTTAAAAAAATATCCACCGTTGTCCTCTGCAGATCCTCTGATTTAAAAATTTTACTTACTAGTGAAGTAAGAAGTTCTGTCCTTACTTACATATCCAGATTCAATGATTCAGATCAGTCGAATACATAACTATGCAACATTTTATTAATACAATAAAACTCGGATCAGTCTTTAGTTTCAGTCGGTCAGTTGCGATGACTGCTTTTCTTTCGTGTCGCGTCAACAGTGCCTTCAACGTTTTTGTGCCACCTAATCAGTATTACCATAATAAAACCTGAATTTCCAGTCCGTCCATTCAATTCCCTAGAGTACCATTAGCCATCCCCTGAACTTACCGCTTGCAGGTCAAACAAATAGGACTCGCTCTGATCTCCTTTATGGAAACATTAGCTCAACTAGCTTAACCCATCACAGCTGTTGGTTTTTAAACAATCCGATTTGAACATAAGCTTGATAAACAGTTTGCCGAACTAAGTACTTTTTTATGTACTTATTAAATTTGTAGATAGAATAGAATAAATGAAAGAGAAAGAAGCCTATTGACGAGTGCAAGATCACTCACCTATCCGGAGCAAAAGCCACAACCATCATGCATCTCACGTGTGGGAAACCACCAGCAGAAAAGGCCAAGGTTGATGTAATTCACTCCCCCTACCGTTAAGATGACAAGTTTTGTTGGAATCAGGTTTGTAAAGCAAGAGGTCGTATATACTAGCCCGTTTTAACAAGATCTGCAGGTACCAAATCAACAGTTTTGCGACATCCAGTTTCATTTCAGTGATTAGTGTTTTTTCAATCACCACAACAAATTAGTGAAAAAACTTTTTCCTTCTGGCCAGTGTACACATTCTTTGTGCTTTGCCTTGAAATACATATTTGCCATTGCCTTTTCTGTGCGTGGTTTATCACCTGGAGATGCAGGATCGTTGCATATCTTGCGCCGAATTGAAGAGTCAGTCCGTTTTAGTTTTTTGTCTATGAATCAAATATGCACATCAAAATACATACATTTAATTCAGTAAATTATTAAACCGAGTTTTTCGATCCGCATGAAATTTGCTAGAAAGACGCAGCCTATGCTTCATTTATGTTCGTTTCCTGATGTTTTTCAGAGAAGTTTCCATGGGCTTGTTTGGGATTAAGTAGCTTCTTAAAAGACGTTTCATGTGTTATGCTATATGTTATCCTCCGTACTAAGAAAGAGTTTATACTTAACACTCTGGAAGTGTCATTCTCTGCATTATGGATTCGTCCGATATTTCGCCAAAATGCATGCCTTGCTTTACATGCCATTTTAAGCTCGATTTAGATCCGACGTCAAGCTTCTGCGGTGAATCAGCTTTCACGTTAGTCACTTCACCTTCACTTCACTTGTTTCCACCTTCTGCGCTTTAATGGCTTTTAGTGCGGCCTTTTCCGGATTTGGTGTTCTTTGCTTCAAAGTAACCTCTAAAATTCAGTCTTCTTCACACTGACAACTAGTTGAACTTCTGGTGGTTCAGTATGAAGTTCGTTTTTGACCCAAAAATACAATCCAATGCGTTTTAAATCGCGACGTTTTGCCGTAGACCCGAGTAAACTACGTTTAAAGAGCGCTTCATTCGATTGTCACGTCGTCACATGGGAACCGTTCTAGCAGTCGTTTGAACTTGTGCGCTAGTTTTGCCGTCATATCCGCAGAAGATAACGTTTTCCATTTGATTCTGTGGTTGTTTCTGCCACCAAATCGTTGCATGCTACTCCATTT